TGGTTAGGGGTGGTAAATGATCGAATCGAATCGAATACTAAAGTGTTCGTATTTGTATTTGTTTAAAATTATCGAATTCGAATGCAGACTCTAATATTCATATATGGAGTTTTTCGAATTCGAACTCGAATACTTGGTATTTGATAAATATTCATGAATATTCACGAATACTTATCGAATATCAAAGTATATTTATTCTGCTAAAGAATTTGATTTTCAAATAGTATTAAAATTCATAAATAAAAATTATTATGTCAAGAGTTGTCCTGGCAAGGGATTGCTATATAAGAAGCATGTTCATACTCACATTTCAGCTTTCTCTAATGCTGGCTACGCAGGAGACATGAGAGACCGAAAGTTTACCTCAAGATTTTATACTTTTGTTGGAGGTAATCTTGTGACTTGGAGGAGCAAGAAATAAGATGTAGTATCACGATCTAGTGCAGAGGCCGAATATAGAGCAATGGCTCACACTGCTTGTGAGATGGTGTGGCTACGAAAGTTTATGATAGAGCTTGGTTTTGTTTAGCCTGGACCCATGGTAATGCATTGTGACAACCAGTCTGGCATTTATATTACACAGAATCCTGTGTTTTATGAGAGGACAAAACATATTGAAGTTGACTGTAATTATGTTAGAGATGCTTGGGAGAAGAAGATAGTATCTCTCATATTTACTCCGTCTTCACAGCAACTTGCTGATATTCTTACCAAGGCTATTTCTTTAAAGGTGTTCTCTACTATATGTGACAAGCTGGGCATGATAAATATCTATGCACTAGCTTGAGAGGGAGTGTTAAATTAAGTATTGGGTATTGGGTTAATGGGCTATTACCCGTTAACCTTAACCCTATTTGTATGGCTATATCTCTCTCTCTCTTATTATCTCAATAAATAATAAGTTAGGGCTTTGCTCTCTCTATTATCTCTTTCTACATAGAGAAACATCTACATAGAAAATGAACCGCCCCTCAGGTTGAATAAGAACCATGACAGTAATTGCACCAACAAGAATTGTTCAGTTAATTTCATTAAAGCAAAATAATCACCAACCGTAAGCAAAAAGATAAGCTGTGTCTCCCAAAATTTACCTCCCTGCAATACCTACGATGCCTATATCATTTATTTCCAAAAGAACACATTCTTTGATAGGATTCGGATCCTCTCCACTATAAAAAAATAGTGGAGGGACCACTACATAATCACAGCCATTGATTATCTAGTTGATGGTTATGATTTTTTCTTTTAGTGCAAATTAGGAATGAGTGCAATACACGGGGGTATGGTAAGTGTTAGATTTAGATTGTATCATAACCGCCTACTAAATAATCAATGCTTGAGATTAAAAGTAGTGGTCTCTCCACTACTTTTTTGTAGTGGAGAGGATCCAAATCCATCAGAAAGTAAGCTTGCACAATCCTTGGTATCGAGGGCAGTGCAGTAGTCTAGCAAGATGGGGGTTTACGGTTGGGAGGAGGAATTAATGTTGGTGTACCGTATCAATTAACGATCGTCGCAACAAAGCAGAGACGCGATTACAAAAGAGAGTGTAGGGATTTGAGAAGAATTTTGGTAGAAATTACCATGGTTATCTAGAGACGGAGTAATGAAAATTGGGTAAACGAGTAGGTTTTTGTCCCATTTACCATTTAATTTTAGGATATGAGGGGTCGATTCAATAAGTTGAAAGGGTACGAGGGCAAATGCAAAATCTTGGACCAAATACTATATGTGGTTTTGTGGGGTCAGTGGGGGCAATTGACCCCATTGCCCCCACGGTGAATCCGCCAATTGACCCCATTGCCCCCACTATGAACAAGCCATTGATCCAGCATATTGTATTTAGTACATTTTGTAAGCATCAAAATATAACACCTTACAATCAAAATCAGTAACTTTTGAGCGTAAATTACTATGATCAATGTAAGTTACTGCTATAAAATGGATGAAATACAAGTTTGAGTTTAAAAACAATTAAGTATTTAAGAATGATGATTTTGAAAGTTGGAGGGCTTAAAAAAAATTACTGTAACTCACGGTCTATAAACCAAAACCCCCAAAAATGCTTGAGTCCGTGAGGGGCTACATTTGAATGGGGATTTGGATCATCTCCACTACAAAAAAAGTAGTGGAGATATCACTACTTTTAATCTCAATCATTGATTATTTAATAGGCGGTTATGATACAATCTAAATCTAACACTTACCATACCCCCGCGTATTGCACTCATTCCTAATTTGTACTAAAAAATCACAATTATCAACTAGATAATCAATGACTGTGATTATGTAGTGGTCCCTCCACTATTTTTTTTTATAGCGGAGAGGATCTGAATCCTATGGAGGCTGCACGTTAACTTTCAACTTCAAGGTGTTTGACGGAGGTAGGTCCGATCTCGCTAACTTTTCCTTTTTTTCTTAGCGCAAGGTGCACCAATTAGTATCAATGAGACAAACTTAAATATATAAGATTTTGAGCTTCATAACATTATTCTTGCCCATTTTGAGCTTTCCTTCAATGATTTATTATATTTTTAATTTTCTCTCATCTTCACATGAGCTACAATAGATAATTTCACGTACATAAACTCACTGTATATATTTGATGGGAGGGCATAATAAATGATTAAATTGAGAATTTTAAATCCAAAAAAAAAGTGCTAATTCGTGAAAATAGTTGCAAGAAGTTTTACCTATGTTTCCTTATTTCTTCTCTAATTAATCACAAATAGCCTCTTGTTGGTAACAGAAAAAGCTCTTCTTCGCTTGGCTGAAAATCAACGAGCTAAGAAACATAGTCGCAGCTAAAAGGATCCTAATCCAACGTCGAAAGCACAAGCTGAGATTATCTCGGGTCCTCAATCCTCAAGTCCATTTCCTTAACCAATGGGAGCCTCTTGCAAAGAGACACATCGAATCCATAACGGGATTGTCCAAAGTTTTAGAAGCTGTCTGCATCCCAATTCCTCTTGTTGACGGCGCCCAGGTGATATATATTTAAATCGATGATTTCAGATTTGTTAGTTGTTTGGAGTTTTGATCTAATTTTTTTGTTTTTTGTTTTTTTGGTTTTGTTTCGCATGCAGACTAATTTAGTGTTGCTACATAGTTATTTTTCTATGTCAATGGAGATTATGGTGGAAATCGAAGCTGCAGTCAGGCTATTCTACTCAAAGGTCTGATATTTTTTTTGAGATACGTCATAGTTGCTTTCAGATGATCAGTATTCTTGCTGTGAGCTACATTACATATGCGTATAGTATGTTGCGTATGTACCTGTACATTAACATATACGTATTTGCGCTGTACTTGCATATGTTCATGTTGTGTATGTGCACATACATACAGACTGACTGATGTTTGAATCATTTGAGACATGTAAAAAAAATTACTATTAAAAGTACTATCGCGGATATGCGAAGAAATTTCACGCTCTACAGAGAAACCATGAAATAAGTAGTCCTTGTTGTTTTCTCAAATTAACCTTCTCATTGACGCATATCAAAGAAATATAACATGTTTATTGTTATTATGCAAATATGACACGGCTGTTTCTTCATTATTTACATTAAATCAGTTTATTTACGAAGTGCAGGTTGAAGAAGTGAGCACAATACTAGCCCAATTGGCAGAGACCGTAGGTCTAGAAATGGAGGGCATCGAGGAATTGATCAAAACAAGCAAAAAGATCACCAAATTGGAGGTTGGTCTTGATTACGTGAATCATATATTTTACATCTTATCGGAATTAGACTAAAGCTCGATAAACTGACATGTTGACGATCTGAACTCTGCGATTGTTTGTTCCTGCAGATGCACGAGACGAGTCTGAGAGCTAATCTGATTCAAGCAGTGAAGAAGGAAGTTGAGCCAACTCCATTATCAACCTTAAGACTGCAGTCATGGACGCAGAGTCATCAATGGCCTATTTACTAACCTTTGCAGTTCTCTTTTCCATAGATTGTGTTTTCATAAAGTATTTATGTGTATTTATTCCTCCTAATA